GGAAAGTTGTGGGGAGACGGTGTCTCCTTTTCTATTTCATTTTCTCACTGACAGAGGATATCTGGCAGCATTCACGGGCTAAATACAGCCAGCTAGCCGGGGTCTGCTACACATTTGTAATATCAATGATCTTTCGCACTATTACCCATGTTTCCAAAACAACGGCTTTCTGACAGTTTGTCAGCAGCCTTCCGGTGAGGTTCAGGTGGCCAAACTTTGTAGTCAGTGATTTAGGAACGAGTTTATTCGCGAAGATAACAACTAATGTAGTTGGTACTATCTTTAAACGACATATCTGCTTCTGACCGATGGTCTGGTTATAATATTTTTTCATTTTCTCCAGCCATAATTTCTGCACGTTTTCGTCGGACGATACAATAGCATTAATTATCTCAGCCAACCGCCAAAATCTCGTGACGTTCTAACGGAGTCTGCAATGCACCTATCGAAAACAAGCAAAAACGTACGCGTTGAGACAGAAACAACACCGCAAGCGGATACGGTGGCTTTGTTTCGTCATACCGTCCCTGAATAATTTCGTGTCACAAATCGTTCAACGCCACGCCTTCAATGAAAATGTGTCTCGACTGCTTCATATTCAAAATGAATGACTGTCACACGACGATGCCAGAACCGATGTCACAGAGGCGGCATTTCGTATTACTAGTAATTTCCGCAACACCTGTCAGTTAGAAACTGGTAAGTTTGTTGTAAACAAGTTTTCTAAGCATGAAATATTCACGTTTAAAAACCTGTGCCACATATCCATACACAGATCGCTCCTCATCGTTACCTTTTCCTCTTCCTTCTCTTCCACTGCTTCGTTTTTCTTATCGACTGACTGTTTGCGAACTGTTGCTTCTTCTCCCGGTCGACGAAAAACGATGACAACTTTCGACGAAAAGACGATGTATTCACGATATTACGGGTTAAAACTTGCAACGCCAGCGAGCTTTTGATTAATCAGTTATAACTGATTGTGAATATTTTAATAATAATAATTTTGATGTGATAACATGATAATAAAATGCCACGAAAATCGCTTCTGTGCTTTAAATGGAAAGCATTTGATCAGGGTGCGCTCTCAGTGCAATTCATCGGTGCTAACCGTACAGCCTGAGCGTGAAAACTATTCATAAACTACAAACGACGGAAAGCAGTACGAAAATACCTGTTTGGAATAACGAGAGAACGGACAGGAAGACGAGTAAATTAGTAAACCCATGAATAAGACTCCATTTCATTGCTGAGGCGACAAAATTAAAGTAGCAAGAAGAAATTATAGTTGCTAGATCAGAGATACGTTGGATTGGGTTCCAAGAAAGACTAAACAGCCCATAGGAGGACTCCAGATCGATGGCTAGTTGTGCTGAAGAAACTCGCTGAATCAAAATATGTGAAAATGGAAGAGAACATAAGTTTATGGATAAACATAAGTTCATCCAGCAGTGGATCGACAAAGACTGTTGGCTATGAATATGATAATAATTTTAATAGCCAGATTTGATTTCGTTGGACAGCTTAACACATATTATCCGCATCTCAGGTTTCACGTAGCGCTAAATGCACCATTTCCGATGAAAATGTAATTCGATGCGTTCTGTGAATGCGTGAAGCTAAATTAGTCTATAGCGAGGTAGTCGCTGGTGAAAGTGTCCTCTTAGGTAAGACAAGAGAGTGGACAGTTTTCTACTGTGCATTTGACCCAAACGGCTCATCTTCAGTAAAGAGGGTAGCACAAAAATAAACAGAAAACGAAGCTCTGTTTCACCAGGCTTTTCTTGGAAGGAGGTCACTTCAAACAAGCCATTTTCCTCTGCAATATACTGTAAGTATCAAAAGCCAAGCACACAGTAACGAACAGTTGAATCAATTCATTGTCCTTAAGAAACCGCTATTTCTTTCGAGTTGAAGGGGTAACTTCTTCAGAAGGCATTTCTAATGATAAAATCCCTGTGCATATGGAGCATACTGTTTGGGTTGAATTTCAAAGCGCAACAATGTTGGGTATTCAACATACCTTGGTCATCAGGTGATCAATCTGCCTCCTAGTAGCGTACTATGTGATCTTGCAAAATCCTCTTGAGGAATCCCGAACACCTACCAAAAATGTCGGAAATGCGGTGTCTCGATCAGCGGAAGGAACGGTTCACAAGCTGCAGTACATCTGACGAATCCTATCGAGCTTCGTCACACCAACAAACATCTGAATTTCTAATTTGTGCCGCCTGCATCCGCCATCGTTTGGTCACTATCCAGCACCGCTGATCACAGAAGAATAAGCAAAATACCAGGAATAGGAAAATAGGAAACTTTGTATCAGCTTTGCTTGCATTTTCATAATGGTTCCCACTTTTCATGAAATTAATGGTATGGCACTGGTCTGAGTTTCCATGTTTCTCTCTTTCCATCAGCCAGCAGTACCTTATTTTGTACAAAAGTCAACATGCATAATATGAAGTCTACTGTTTCTTTCCCACAGATTGGTACTGATTTACCAACTTTTGGAGGAAAAACCGAGTGACCTAAGAAAAGATCGAATCCGAGATCTGTCGATTCTGAGTCCAACGTTCTACCGCCTAAGCAGTTCCGTTAGCTATAGGCGAATGTAGGTGCATACTGTATATTTTGTATACATATTCGCAGAGACAGTTCCGCACTACGGCCCAAATCCTTCTTCATCACCACACATCGGTTTGGCTTTCTCATCACGTCTGTTTATATGACATGCCTATAGTCGCTCGCGATGCTACAATAAAACGCTTAAGGATATAGGATCTTTCATATTCACAAGGACGTTGCGCAGTGTTCGACTGTAATTCAGTATGCTGTGTGACTGAAAGTGACTGATTTTCCCCTTGTTGTCTTTAATCATTAACAACATGAGGCGGGAGAGAGAAGTCTTCACATAAAGGCATAAAAATCATGTACATTTTAGTTTCGTCATCACAGTTATCGAAAGGTTCATATTCGAAGTAGAGCAGTCAATTAAGCGGGACGAGCAGCTGCGAAGCATCAGTTAACTTCCAACTCTGCTTGAGTAAAACGTTGCTGCTCTCATCATAACAAAGTTTTGTTTTGTTGATGGATGTTTGAAAGAAGTGACACTGGACCTGTGTCTACATGCTGGAGAGGAGATGGAAATAATGAATGAAGAATCAAAGTGGGGATAGAACAAAACCATAGAAGATACAAATTTCAGCTTCTACCAGTAAAAGTCGATTTTGCCAAATTATCGCTAAGCTACTTATAAACCTGACTCTCTGCAACGTCGCCCGGATGTCTGAATCTTCGCCATCGCTTAGTTACAGACGGTGGTTTAGGAGGTATTGCGGTAAAACCCATGGACTGCCGAAGTGTACTAAGCATCAATCATTTTCAGCCCATATCATTTTGGACGTATCGTTAGACGAGACGGTAACATGTCTATTAAAATTCGACGACAGTTGAAGAACAGATGGCTGAGGAGTGACTGCTGATCTTTCAGAAATGGATCCTTAGACAGCGATGCCGAGCATGACGCGAATATCGAGCAGCTCACTCGACTCGTTTCAAGCAACTCCTCATTTATGTCCCTCGACAAAAACAATCAACAATTCCTCTACAGTCACAATCACAACTGTCGCTATTGCGAAGCACTGCGATAGCGCGGACGACAGTGGATAGGAAAGCGCAAAGACCATGGCTGGTGATCGCTTTTCATCGAAACGCAGGACGGTCATTCCGATGAACTGATCGAAGTTAATTAACGCTAAAAGAATGGTTGCCACTGCGTAAGTGAAACACGGGAGTGAA